ATCTCTATGCTGATGACACACAAATCTATCTTTCTTCTCCTCACCTCACCCCTTCAGTCTCCTCTCGCATTACTAACCTACTAAGCGACATATCGGCATGGATGTCACTCCACTTCCTCAAACTAAATCTTTCCAAAACTGAGCTCATACTATTCCCTCCAGCCCGTGCCCCCTCCCCTGACTCTCCATCAAGATCAATAATACAACCATCAGTCCCTCCCCTCATGCCAGGGTACTAGGTGTAATCCTAGACTCCCATCTGTCTTTTCATCCCCAAATCCAATCACTGTTCAAATCATGTAGACTTCATCTCCGCAACATCTCCAAGATACGCCCATTCTTAACTTCTGAAATCACTAAGCAACTTATACCCTCCCTTATTATCTCTCGCCTTGACTATTGTAACTCCCTCCTCATTAGCCTACCTCATTGCAGGCTATCCCCTCTTCAGTCTATCATGAATGCTGCTGCTGGACTCATCCACCTTACTAACCGTTCTGTATCTGCCACTCCTCTCTGCCAGTCCCTCCACTGGCTTCCCATTGCCCAAAGGACAAAATTCAAAACATTAACAATAACATATAAAGCCATTTATAACTCTGCCCCAAATTACATCACCAATCTTGTCTCTAAATATCACCCAAACCATCCTCTCCGCTTCCCGCACAACCTCCTGCTCTCTAGCTCCCTTGTCTTCTCCTCCCATGCTTGTCTCCAGGACGTCTCCAGAGCCTCCCTCCCCCATCCTCTTGAACTCTCTACCCCAATCAATTCAACTATTGCCTACTTTGCCCACTTTTAGGCCATCTCTGAAAACCTATCTCTTCAGGGAAGCCTATCCCGCCTTCAGCTAATAATGGAATCTTCGATTCCTCCTACCAGTCCATCCCCCACAGGGCCCTCCTAACCCTCTTGTATTGAACTGTATTGTTGCTGTATTGTCTCCCTTTACATTGTAAAGCGCTGAGCAAACTGTTGGCACTATATAAATCCTTTATTATAATAATAATACAGGCTAGACAATAGCATCCTGACTGCCATTAGGTGTCCAGATGAAATCTTTGGACCCATTGTCAGACCCTACGCTGGTGCAGTGTGTCCTGGGTTCCTCCTGGTGCATGACAATGCCCGGCCTCATGTAGCGAGAGTATGCAGGCAGTTCCTGGAGGATGAAGGCGTTCATACCATTGAATGGCCCCCATGCTCGCTGAACTAAATCCAATAGAACACCTCTGGGATATCATGTTTTGGTCCATCCGACGATGCCAGGTTGCACCTGAGACCATCCAGGAGCTCAGTGATGCCCTGGTCCAGATCTGGGAGGAACTACCCCAGGACACCATCCTTCGTCTCATTAGGAGTATGACCCGACATTGTCAGGCATGCATGCAAGCATGTGGGGGCCATACAAACTAATGAGGACCATTTGAGTTGCTGCAATGAAATTTCAGCAAAATGGACTTGCCTGCTACATAATTTTTTCACTTTGAATAACGGGGTGCCTTTGAATTCAGTCCTCTGTAGGTTGATAATTTTCATTTTAATCAAACAATGGGGCATCCTTACATTCTTAACACATTACCCAGTCCATATCAGTACAGATATCCAGCATGATATTTTTCCCCATTGAGATCTGATGTGTTTTTCAAAGTGTTCCTTTAATTTTTTTGAGCAGTGTATATACAGCACCCTGTCCACCTCTCCCACCAACCATGATTTGCACACATTGCATAATGAAGCAGAGAGACCCAGTGGTGCCACTGGGTCTAAATTAAGCTGTGTAATAAATCCAGAAATGTTTTTATATAGAAACGTTTCATTAGCATGTTAATGATGGGGGATGGAGAAACCAAGAAAGGCTTAATATAGGCAGATTAAGCTCCAGCTTTAAATCCAATGTTGTTATGTAATGATTTAACAAGTCATTCGTTTTTATAGATGATGTTGCTGTCATGCCTCTTGTAGTTTCGCTGTCCAACACTGTTTTTATTGAACATTGACAGCTGTAGTACTCTAGTTGTACCTCCTTCCACGTTATCTGCAGTGACTCACCATCCACCTCCACCAGTTCTCCATAAATCAGGTCGTTACCGCCAGGCAAGCTGTGCTATAATCTAGGTGGATTTCTGCAATGAGCTCTCTACTGAATATTAATTTGTGCAAATCACTTTTGAGCTCAGATCTGGACGAACAGTTGGGTGCGGCTCAAGAAATGGATCAGGTAGTTCATCCATTCATAAAATTAATCTGAATAAAAGCATCTACAAAGCCGGGTGTATTTACTCCAGTTGTCTGCAGTTGAGGCTACAAATCCTCTGGCAGCTTCAAAGGTTAATTTCACCCAAGCTGGTATTTGAGCTATTCTGGTTTCATGTATCACTGGAAACTCAGTGGTGAAACTTCATAAATTCAATTTATAACTTTTATATAATCCAAGGAGTCTCACTTCTTCTGTTTCATTCTCTTGAAATGCTGGAAAAATTGACTAGAGCGACCCATTTGTAAATGTGAGCCAATCTGTGGGCTTGGGAGTGGGGTTTTATCACTGGTATGCACAGTACAATTTCGAGCATAGTGGCTGATTGAAGCGCAATCAAAGAGCTATATTATATCGGCTTTGATAAAAATCCTTAAGGGTCCAATTATACCTTTTTATGTTCTACAGCACTGATCTCCAAACTGTGGCCCTGGGGCCGGAAGCAGCCCTTTGCTTGTCTTCATCTGGCCTTTGATGCATTATTCTTGCCACCGACACCCACGACGGGGGCATAGTTCCTGCCACCGACACCCACGACGGGGACATAGTTCCTGCCACCGACACCCACGACGGGGGCATAGTTCCTGCCACCGACACCCACGACGGGGGCATAGTTCCTGCCACCGACACCCACGACGGGGGCATAGTTCCTGCCACCGACACCCACGACGGGGGCATAGTTCCTGCCACCGACACCCACGACGGGGGCATAGTTCCTGCCACCGACACCCACGACGGGGGCATAGTTCCTGCCACCGACACCCACGACGGGGGCATAGTTCCTGCCACCGACACCCACGACGGGGGCATAGTTCCTGCCACCGACACCCACGACGGGGGCATAGTTCCTGCCACCGACACCCACGACGGGGGCATAGTTCCTGCCACCGACACCCACGACGGGGGCATAGTACCTGCCACCGACGTCAACACTGGGGCATAGTACCTGCCACCGACGTCAACACTGGGGCATAGTACCTGCCACCGACGTCAACACTGGGGCATAGTACCTGCCACCGACGTCAACACTGGGGCATAGTACCTGCCACCGACATCAACACTGGGGCATAGTTCCTGCCACCGACGTCAACAACGGGGCACTTATACTCCAAACACAACTATTTCTCTCCCATTACAAATGATCGGGCATTGTTTACTCCCACTGAGCACAATCTGGCCCCCTAAAGTCTGAAGAACAATAAACTGTCCCTTTCTTTAGAATGTTTGGAGACCTCTGTTCTAGTGAGTTGCAATAAGACAAGAAATGTGAATGAATGTGCCGCCAATGCATTGGAACACCCAAAAAAGGGACATGCAGCATTTTTTCCATCATGATGCACCAAAATGCACAGTTGTGTGTTACCATGCGTTATGGTGTGCTGCAGTGTTTGTGCATTACCTTAGTGCATTATTGGGGTGCCCTTGAAAATGAATGGTGCCACAGTGCTCTAACATAGGTGTTCCAAGCTTTCCAAAAAAAGGGGATAGTTTATTGTCCTTCAGGCTTTTAGGGCCAGACTGTGGCCATCAGGAGTGGAAACTTTCCTGGCATCAGTGGGAGCAAACGTCGCAACATTTGGTATTAGGGGGAGAAATGGTGCTCCATTGTTGGTAACATTGGGAGGGATAGTGCCCCATTATTGGTGTCAGTGGGAGAAGTGGTGCCCCATTGTTGATGTCAGTTGGCAGAATAGCGTCTTACATCACTGCTAGGAATAGGTCCCCAAGAGGCTGGATAAAGGCAAGCAAAGGGCCGCAGTTTGGAGACCACTGCTCTAACGTTTACATGGTACGTTCCATTACTGAAATGCAATGTAACCAATAGGTGTAAATGGGCCTGTAACCACTTAAGTGCTATCAGGTATATACTTCTTCATTACCAGGCCAGTTGTTGTGCTGTGATAGTTTTGACTGATAATTTTCCTGAGACAGATAGAACTTTTTGGCGGTATTTAAGTAACAGAATAATTTGTTTGGGCCGGCTAGAGAATGGAACCTGGAGTTAAGCAATGGTCAGGTAGTCAGTGGCACACACCTTTTCAGAAAAGCAGTATCATTGCCATTAGTGGTCAAGGTCTTTTAAGACCCTCCCCACCCCTCTCCCAAATCTTCACCTTCCATCTGTCAATCATCTTTCTTGCTCAAAGTTTGTAAATACTACTAGTGTTTACACATGTGAAGACTGTGACTGAGTCAGAGCAATTAAAATGTACAGAGCCACTCTGATTGGCTCTGTCCATTGGGACTATGATCTGAGTTGTCCAATGAAAACTCCAATGAGAGCCATTTATGGGGATACGGATTGCCAAGTATGATTTCTAAAATACCTGTGTCTATCTTTTTATCAGCATTAATGTACCTGATGGAGTGGCATAACTTCACTTGCTGTTTAGTACTTTCGAGTCAGTGACACAGAATACGTATGCAAATAAGGAGCTCTGATTTCACTCCGACCCTCCTGATGTACATGCTTGTTCCAGGTCAGTGACTAAAAGGATTGAAAGCCACAGACAGATGAGCAATAAATCTGATGGATGGCCAAACAGTTCCTGTATGTGTTTTTAGCCATTCAGCTAGAGTTCACCTTTTATTAAAAAAAAAAAAAGCAAAACTTGGAAATCAAATAGTTTCATGACTGCCTTACATATCCAAAGTTGTCTTTGTCATGATTTACAGCACATAAATAAATTCTGTTAACTGTTGGGTTCAGCTGACTTACTCCTGTGCTTGTCTTGTTGTATAGAGCTGTGTTGACCATCCCATTGTGTTTACGGAGACGCCATGCACCCCACTTCATGTCCGGCAGATGGTGTCTGAGCTTCTCTTTGAATGCTACCATGTTCCCAAAGTGTCTTTTGGCATTGATGGCTTGTACAGCTTCTACCGCAACAAAAATACGTTTCCCACCTCTGGAATCATTGTGTCTTCTGGCTACCATTGTACCCATATACTTCCTTTGTTGAATGGCAGGTGAGTTTACCGTTGATGCAATGTACGCTATGAAATGAAAAGGCCATAAAAAACAGTACAGTAATCTTATTCATAGAAGAGGACCTGTATTGTAGAGGCTGTGTCTGGTAAGTCAACCAGAGGTGAAGAGATTATTCATTAATATTTCCTATAGTAACCTTTCAGCTTACTTTTTGTGCATTACTGGCTTACCAGGTCTTGTTCTATGCTGGGTCTCTGTGTGGGGGTGGCCATCTTGATAGATGATTGCTGATGCCATACCTGTTTCTGTAGTTGCTGGAGACGCAGTTATGATGGCATCATCAGAAGTCAGTTGGAGGGGTGGAGAAGGTCCACAGAATGAATGACACAGAAGCAGGGAGATGCTTGTAAAGTATTTTTCCAGGTACAGATTGCTCTCCAGCAAGGAAAACCCTGAGCCGCACAATAGTGGCATCACTGAAATCACTCAGATTCTGGGACTAGAATTCAGAGGTGGTAATGGTTAAGATGATCTCATACTGCAGATATACAGCTACGGAGGCAGGATGTGCAGTGCTGTTCTTCAGGAGAAATTTAAGGCAAAAGGTACATTTCTTAGGGTACAGCTTAGCCTTGACAAACCTTTCTTGAATGCTTTGTCTTTAGACTGGATGGCAAGAACTGCAAACGGATAAATATTGGAGGATTCCAGGCTGTGACCTATCTCCACCGCCTGATGCAATTGAAGTATCCTGGACATCTCTCTGCTATCACTCTCAGTCGAATGGAGGAAATCCTTCATGAGCACTGCTACGTTCCAGATGACTATATAGAAGGTAAGCCTTTGCTGTTGGCCACACTTTGATGAACAGCAATTAGGAAGTGAAATTGTGATTCTGTAATAGATTTTGCTCTGCAATAGACTGAGAAATGTTCTGACCTGGAAATTCCTATAAGCTTCTTCAGAAGTGCTGATGTAGATGTGCTTTTCTTCTTGTACATATGCAGCAGGTCAGCTAACTCTGATAAAATTTCAGGAATATCTAACTGGAGCCTAAATACTCAAGGCACGCCTGGAACGCTTTAGTGGAATTTTATATTCGTCATCAGAAAGTTCATATGATATAGAGGGTGGTAATCTGATGCGGTTCAGATGCACTCCAGATTGCATAGATGCGCATTGCAAATGAAACAACATTGTTTTCTATGCAGGCCTTGCAATTCTGATGCGGTTAAAAAAAAGGGTCCTGTGCATGTGGTGTGATTTTTAAGCTCCATAGATTTCAATTTAACCACATTCAAATCACATCTCTGTTCAAATATAATGTGAATCCAGCAGTTTGTTTTTTTTTTTTTCTTCTAGATTTTACTTTTCCCCTCCTCCCCACAGAATCGCAATAAAATCGCATACGAATTGCAGCTGTAAGGCACAAGTCGTACCACAAATGCACACTGAAAATCACATGTTTAAATTGCTCATCATCAAATCTGAACCTAGGCTTAATGTAGCCCATGATGGCATTAAAATCTGACTGGGGTTCTAATTCTCTCACTTTGTGTACCTAAAACATTTCTGTGTTTCTATGGGGTTTTTTTTGTTTGTTTTATGTTTCAAAACACTTTAAATAGTGCTTTGAACTCTGACTTTCCTCCCATAACTACTGAATGCCATTTGCCAGACCTCTGCACAGTGGGCAAAGTCCTCAGCTCTGTTTGTGCTCTGACCTGGACCTTACGCAGGGCTTTTTTTTTTGGGGGGAGGGGGGAATCATAGCGCTCCACTAACCCATTACTAAACCCTGGATAGATAAAGTAGAGGTTCAATTAAAAATAAAAATGTTCTAGCTGTTATTTTCTGAAGCATTGTTTACCCATCTCCATTCCTGTGTAAATAAAATCTATAGAGCCTGTGGCAGGTTTTTTAAATATAGTTTTTTTTTTTTCCCTCTGCCTATCAAAGAGCTGAAGAAATGGCGTTGTCCAGATTACTATGAACAGAATGTGCACAAGATGCAGCTGCCCTTCTCCTCCAAGCTTCTAAGCACTGCGGTCCCATCAGAGGAGAAGCAGGAGCGCAGGCAGCAGCAGCTTAAACGCCTGCAAGAGCTCAATGCACGACGGCGAGAGGAGAAACTTCAGCAGGATCAGGAACGTTTGGAGAGATTGCTCTATGTGCAGGTATCTATTGCTGGTAACAATTCTGGTACCTTTGGCTCATTTCTGACATGCTGACTCTACATGCCATAGATATTAAGAGTCATTCCTCTCACTATTGATAATTCATTGTTTGAGAAATATTGGACAGAGAAAACTCCTTACATCCTCCACTGTCTTTTGGAGAGTCTGGTGTAATCTTAATTTCCTGCGTCTACATGCTTTCTGTAGCTTTTTCCCACTCTGCATGCTTTTTTTTTTTTTTTTTTTTTTTAAATGAAAAATGTAACAGGAGGGTCTGGAATATGCAAAGGTGGGTAAGAACATGAAAAATGCCCAGTGGACAGGAACAGAGTTAAAAATCTTTCTTTGAAGCTCACTGTTGAAGTACCCAAAACAAGAAAATAGGTGCAGACTAAGCTTACCAGTCTCCATCTTAAAATACAACTGTTGAGTGGACTGATCTTCTTTTTTAAATTTTGTATTTGCTATCTCATTTTAGTTTTTATGATACCTTTTAATTTTCTTTATATAATACAATAAAAACCACTAACTAAATGAATTGGCACATTGTCTAACTTTTCATTGCACCAGGCAGTGATTACATTTAAATGTTTCTCTTAGTTTCTGTGCACAGGTGCAACTACAATCTCTAGAGATCTAAATGGGAGAACTGAGTTGGTGTGCACTTCAAATTCTGGCATCCTGAGGTTGCTCTTACAGTCATTTGGCTTTTTTCAATAGGAGCTTCTGGAAGATGGACAAGTGGACCAATTCCACAAAGCTCTGGTGGAACTGAATATGGACTCTGCAGAGGAGCTGCAATCATACATTCACAAATTAAATGCAGCTGTTGAGCAAGGCAGACAGAGGATCCTGGGGGAGACCATAGACGGCAAACCACAGGTGAGAGCCTTTCACTAATACCCTTCAAAGGAGAGCTGTAATGTTTTGGGGATAGTTTATTTTAGATGTTGTTTTTAAAAGGGAAGTACAGCCAAAGCCCGTTTGGCTGTTCTTTCTGAACTCCTGTGACCCATTTTCAGCTGACAGCAGGATAAAGCCCAGGTTTCCAGTCCAGGCTGAGGAAAAATTCCAACTCTAAACTCGGGATCCACCCAGATGCCTGGACTGGCACATGGCTTGGTCTCTCAGTGAGCCTCTGACAGCCTGAGCCAGTCTCTCCCTCCACAGCCCAGCTCTCCAGTGATTGCTGGGGGGGGGGGGGGGGCAGAGCAGACAGCAGTGACTGACAGTCACCACTCTCTGCTCAGAGCAGCAGGGAGAACTGAGTGATAAGTGGTATCTGATCACTCAGTTCTCACCCTTACAGCAGGCGGGGGACATCAATGCGATGCTGCATCCACCTAGATAAGTATGATTTTAAAAAACAATCAGTAATGAATAAGGAGAAAATAAACAACCATACTTACATATACTATATCCTTGTGACTTTTTCTTCATATTTACCAATTTTTGTTCTGCCTGGGCCCCCATTTCTGTGCTGCCGTTTTTTGAAAATTTCTGTGATACTTTGTATGCGCAGTTATGTGCTTCATCTTGCACATGCAGTGTACAATACTACATGCAATCTGTTAAAAGAGAAAATTCCTTCACAGAGATCTCAGGAGAAGTTTTTAATTCCCAGCAAATGAGTGTCATTTCGAATGGCACATGTGCAAGATGAGGCACATGATATGCGCTTCATCTTACGCATGTGCAGTATATGAGATTTCCCTGAAGGCAGTAGTGATGTTGCCTCCCCAGGGGTTCTCTATACCCAAGGCAACATCACCACTCCCTTTAGGAAAACCAGGAAGTGAAAGATGAAAAAGGTAAATAAAGAAACAACAAAAACATTTGCTAAAAAGTGCAATTTCAGAAATGCATGCAGATGTGCATCTTTAGAGAAAGCGGGGGAAAGGGTCTGTTTATACACTTGAAGACCTATCAGTTTCTGTCATGTTTTGTTTACAGGTTTAAATCAGTATTTTTTGCTATAAACTTACTTATAAACCCCAAACATATATTTTATATTTTTTATATATATATATATTACAGTTTTGTGCTCAAAAGTTTACATACCCTGGCAGAAATTGTGAAATTTTGGCATTGATACTGAAAATGACTGATCATGCCAAAAAATGCTCTTTTATTGAAGGATGATGATCATATGAAGCCATTTCTTACCAAATAGTTGTTTGGCTCCTTTTTAAATCATAATAACAGAAATCACCCAAATGGCCATGATCAAAAGTTTACATCCCCTGGAATGTTTGGCCTTGGTACAGACACACAAGGAGACACACACGGGTTAAAATGCCTATTAGAGGTTAATGTCCCACATCTGTGGCTTTTAAAATTGTAATTAGTGTCTGTGTATAAATAGCCAATGAGTTTGTTACCTCTTACGTGGAAGCACTGACTAGGCTAGATACTGAGCCATAGGGATCAGAAAAGAACAGTTAAAAGTCCTGCGTAACAAGGTAATGGAACTTTATAAAGATGGAAAAGGAGATGAAAAGATGTCCAAAGCCTTGAATATGCCAATCAGTACTGTTAAATCACTTATTAAGAAGTGGAAAGTTTGGGGATCTATTGATACCAATCCAAGGTCAGGTAGACCAAGAAAGATTGCAGCCAGAACTGAAGAATTGTCCGGGATTCAAAGAAAAACCCACAGGCAACCTCAAAAAAAATACAGGTTGCTCTGGAAAAAGATGGTGTGGTTGTTTTGAAAGCGCACAATATGAAGACACTTGAACAAAAATGAGCTGCGTGGTCGAGGTGCCAGAAAGAAGCTTTTACTGCATCAATGACACAAAAAGGCCTGGTTAGGCATGTCAAGGTGTTGTCAGGCATATTGTAACTGGGGGTGGAAGCTGGTGATTGCCCAGCTTGTTGGTGTGTGGGGACTTCCGCTCTCTGCGGCTCGAGGCAGAGGGCGGGAGTCTTCATGTTGATGGGCCGGGCGGTGCCCACTTGTTTACATGGTGACTTGGGCAGCTCCCACCCCTTGGTCCCGATCTGCAGCTCCTTGAACCCCGCCCGCTGTGGGGATGACGTTGGTGGCTGGGCGGGGGTCCCGAGGGAGGACACTCAGCGGTGTCATGGCTGTGGTCCGGATGGGACTGTCCCTCGGTCCGGTTTTGGACCTAGGTCCACCATTTAGCGACCACTGCTTTACACGCACATGAATTTTAATGCCATCCCAGTCTTAGTCCATAGGGCCCACCGTTTGCAGCTATAACAGCTTCAACTCTTCTGGGAAGGCTGTCCACAAGGTTTAGGGGTGTGTCTATGGGAATGTTAGACCATTCTTCCAGAATCTCATTTGTGAGGTCAGGCACTGATGTCTGACAAGAAGGTCTTGCAGTCACTGCTGTAATTCATCCCAAAGGTGTTCTATTGGGTTGAGGTCAGGACTCTGTGCAGGCCAGTCAAGTTCCTCCACCCAAACTCACTCATCCATGTCTTTATGGACCTTGCTTTGTGCACTGGTGTACAGTCATGTTAGAACAGGAAGGGGCCATCCCCAAACTGTTCCCACAAAGTTGGGAGCATGAAATTGTCCAAAATGTCTTGGTATGCTGACGCCTTAAGAGTTCCCTTCACTGGAACTAAGGGGCCAAGTCCAACTCCTGAAAAACAACCCCACACCATAATCCCCCCTCCACCAAACTTTACACTTGGCACAATGCAGTCAGACAAGTACCGTTCTCCTGGCAACCGCCACACCCAGACACGTCCATCAGATTTCCAGAAAAACGTGATTCGCCACTTCAGAGAACACATCACCACTGCTCCAGATTCCAGTGGCGGCGTGCTTTACACCACTGCATTCGAAGCTTTGCATTGCAGCTGGTGATGTAAGGCTTTGGTGCAGCTGTTTGGCCATGGAAACCCATTCCATGAAGATCTCTATGCACTGTTGTTGTAATAATCCTGAAGGCCACACGAAGTTTGGAGGTCTTTAACTATTGACTATTGCAGACAGTTGGCGACTTTTGTGCACTATGCGCTGACCCCGCTCTGTAATTTTACATGGCCTACCATTTCGTGGCTGAGTAGCTGTTGGTCCCAGTTGCTTCCATTTTGTTTTAATACCACTAACAGTTGATCGTGAAATATTTAGTAGGAAGGAAATGTCACGGATGGGCTTATTGCACAGGTGGCAACCTGTCACGGTACCACGCTTGAATTTACTGAGCTCCTGAGAGCGACCCATTCACAAATGTTTGTAAAAGCAGTCTGCATGCCTAGGTGCTTGATTCTATACACCTGTTGTCATGGAGGTGATTGGAACACCTGAATCCAATGATTTGGAGGGGTGTCCTAATACGTTTGGCAATATAGTGTATATGTGTATTACAGTCGTCAAGTGGTTATATTAAAAATAAGTTCCAGGCACACAAAGGGCTTACCATCACAGGAGTTATTCAGCATTTCTCTTTTTTTTGACAAACAAAATACTTCATTGGCCTCCTGGCTTTCACTTGCTCTGATCTCAAAATTAGGCCCTCATCTCTTCATTCTGACAGTACTGAAAACTGTGCACCCAAGCACCTACTCTAGCTGCTCCTTTGTAGCCCCATGGTCTCCTGGAGAGGGTGAAGCCTTGATTTGTAGTCAGCTTCCTAAACCCTGCACAATCAGTGTGCTGGTTGCTAGCAAAAATGTGGACCCAGGGCTGGAGGGTTCATCCCACCCAAGACTCTACAAAGTCTCTGGGCTCCAGGATCCAAACCAGGGTTTGCTAATCCCTGGGGAAACTGAAAATCCAGATTTCCTCCCTATGAGACCCCTCACCCTGTATGGATGAGAAATGCTAGGTGCCAATCTTTTTACATAGTGACGTGGCCCATTCTTGTCACGGTATTCGAAAACATTTAATATGACATGATTTCCAGAGATCGATTGCCTACCTAAAGAGAAATCACAGCAGACTAAGCTTGCTTTGAGATTGTTTTTATGATTGAAACCTCAGATAATATTTAATTTAAAAGATGAATTAAGATTGGCCTATTACCAAACAGCACTTTGCATGCCACCTTTTGCTATTGAATCAATCTCTTCTGGTTCCTGTCATTGCATTATTTCATAGAAACCAATCAATTTTCACCTTTTAGACACACCAAGCTGTCAGTATGAGAGACAATTGCTGATTGGTTGTGTGTTCACTTCACTTTGCTTATTCCTTATTTGTGTATTTTAATGTATGTATTAAAGACACCAGAGCTGCTGGGAGGAGAGCAAGAAGATATGGAAGGGATTTTGGAATCGGACCCTCTTTATTCAGAGGATCAGGTGGAAACCGAGAAAACAACATCCAGTGTTCAGGTAGTGAAAGTTAATAAAAATATATTTCTGTAAATTGGCATATTTCTGACAATTGGCTAAATCCATCTTTATCATTTGCCAGGCCATGTTTAATATAGCAGAGTACCACCAGATGTACCTGGGCACAGAAAGGATTCGTGTGCCAGAGGTGCTATTTCAGCCCTCGCTAATTGGGGAAGACCAGGCTGGGCTGGCAGAGACAATGCAGTATATGCTAGACCGGTAAGTCTGGTAATCTTAAAGGAAATGTTTGGAGCTGCACAAAAGGATTAGTTTATCAAAACAATACAGAAATTGCTAATCCTCCATACAACGGGAAACAAAAATGTATTAAACTTATTGTAACAATTCACTTTCTACTCCACCCCTCACCGTAGTTACTCTCGTCTAGATCATTTTTTCATCTCTGCCCCACTGCTTTCACTTCTGGTTTCTTCTGAAATCAACCCCATCACTTGGTCTGACCATGCCTCTTTGACTTTAAACCTTTTTTTTCCTCCTGTTATACCCAAACCATGTCATTGGCACCTTAATGAGACCTTTCTTTCCACAGACCATTTTTAGAGATGAACTGTCGCAGGGACTTGATACCTACTTTACACACAATGTTGGCTCCGTTGCCTCTTCCTCAACTCTGTGGGAGGCCCATAAGGCGGTCTTTCGAGGACTCTGTATTTCTATGGGTTCTCGTTTAAAAAAGTCCTCGGCGAGTGCTAGGGCCTCTCTTATACATCAGCTATCTTTTGCGGAACGACGGTTACTGGCCAAGCCGTCCATTTCTGGGCTCCAGAGGGTAACATCTCTACGGGACCGAATTAAAGTTCTCGACTCCAGTAAGACTGCACAATCCCTCCTCTGGGTAAGCAGAAATTTTATGAATTTTCCAACAAACCCCATCGTATGTTAGTCAATCGACTCAAAGCTCAGTCCCCTTCTACGATGCTTGACCTTTTAATACAGCCAAATGGAAGCCCTACCTATGACCCTCGGGATATGGCAACCCTTTTTGGCTCATTCTATGGGAAACTGTATAACTGTTTGACCCCAGACCTTCACCCGCCCCTCACACAGTCATCGTTTGATAATTTTTTTGACCCTTTGTCACTTCCGAGAATATCACCTTCAGACATTGCCACCCTTAATGCTGACATTACGCTAGAGGAATTACTGGACACAATTAAACATCTCCCTTCTCGTAAAGCCCCGGGACCGGATGGATTGCCCTACTCCTATTATAAATCTTTTATTGGTATTCTGGCACCTCATCTCCTCTCTTTTTATCGAGATCTTTTCAAGGGGGTCACACCCCAGACTGAATTCTCCCGTGCATATATCTCGGTTATCCCTAAACCCGATAAGGATCACTCTATTGTAGACAACTACCGCCCCATTGCCCTACTTAATTCTGATTATAAGATTTTCACTAAAATTTTGGCCAACCGACTGTCCGGAATTATTTCCATACTCATACATAGGGACCAAGTGGGCTTTGTACCTGCCAGACATGCTGCAGATAATACCAGGAGATCTATTGATCTGGTTGACTTGGTTAACCGATCCTCTACCCCTGCTGTGTTATTGAGCTTAGATGCTCAAAAAGCTTTCGACCGTTTAAGTTGGCCTTATATGTTCATGGTCTTGGAGAGATTTGGTTTTAGAGGCCCATTTGTAGCAGCCTTGAAGGCCCTTTATTCATCCCCCTTCTCGCAGGTCAGATTAGCTTCTTTTCTTTCACTTCCCTTTCAGATGTCAAATGGCACACGTCAGGGTTGCCCACTCTCTCCCTTGCTGTTCATTCTTTGTCTGGAACCATTAGCCATCGCCATCAGGTCGAATCCGGATATTCGTGGGATACAATCCCATTCCCATGAGTACAAGTTATCGTTATTTGCAGATGACATCCTCCTCACACTTACGAGCCCCCACACCTCCTTACCGATTTTGCATGAGACTCTGAAACAATTTGGGGCTATATCAGGCTACAAAGTCAACACGTCCAAAACTGAGGCACTCCCAATACATGTTCCACCTGCTGTTCTAACCTCGCTTCAGCAAGCCTTTCCCTACCGGTGGTGCACCCACTCTTTAAAATATTTAGGTACTAATCTTACTTCCTCTTACCAATCCATATACGAGGCCAATTTCCCCCCACTATTTATAGCAATTTCTCGCTCTCTGAAACATTGGGATACCTTGCCCATCTCTTTCCTCGGACGCATCGTCTTAAAAATGACCGTGTTACCCAAACTTTTATACCTGTTTGCAACTCTCCCCGTCCCCGTTCCTATGTCCAAACTTCACTCCCTTCAGAAATCTTTCCTACATTTTATTTGGCACAATAAGCGGCACAGGATTGCACGTTCTGTTCTGCTCTCCCCGCGTTCTAGGGGGGGATTGGGGGCGCCGGATATAATAACATACTACTATGCAACTCACCTTCGTTTTCTCATGTCATGGTCCACCCACCATCCTCCCAACACATGGACTGAGATCGAATCATTGCAACTGTCCCCAGCTCATCCATGTTCCCTCCTTTGGTCGACCTCAGCAGTGGATGTCTCTTCCTTCCGCCACCTATTCCTTGGTCCCATGCATTTTTCACTGACTGTTTGGCAGAAATGTAAGGCTAAATTTACACTGGCCTCTGATTGCTCCCCACTGACAAATATCCTCTAAAACCCTAATCTTCCAGATAATATGGCCATGTCCCGGATGTCTCTTTGGGTAGTAGCTAACCTTTTTCAATTGCGTCACTTGGTACACACCCGGTGACTCGTAAGTTACACTCATTCCCGGATCTTCAGAAAAAGGCTCCTCTACCTCCTCATCACCTATATATATACCTTCAAATACGCCATTTTTTTTCTACCTTATCACCCTCATTGATCCTGGGGAAGCCTACTCCCTTCGAACGTTTATGTATGCAGGGTCCCCACCAAAGGGGTATTATCTCTAATACTTATAAACTCCTTATGGATGCCCCCCCTTTATCCAATGACACTCACCTTTTACATGCGTAGGTGGTCTCAATTTGTACAACGTGATATTGATTTATTAACGTGGAAGAAAATCTGGGAAAATGCATCTAGATCTTCTGTCTGTGTGGTTTTTAGGGAAAATATATACAAGATCATGATGTTATGGTACAAAACACCTGAAGTTCTTCATGCTTATAATCCGAATGCTTCTCCTGCCTGCTGGCGCTGTAGTAGAGATCTTGGTTCTCTCTACCATATCTTTTGGACATGCAGCTCCATTGCCCCTTTTTGGGAAGAGGTCCGCTCCTTGTTGCAATCGTTGTTGCATATCTCTCTCCCATTTGACCCACTGCATTTTTTGCTGGGCTTGCCATTCCCGGGTCTACCTAAACCAGCTAGAAAACTTGCTGTACATGTTCTGACCGCGGCCAGGAGAAGCATTCCTATGTGTTGGTTATCTTCTACTCCCCCTTCATTGCCGATTTTGTACAAACTTGTTGCTGATGTAAGACAGATGGAATATTTGACTGCATTACATAATTGTTCGTTTGCTGTGTTTGAGATGATTTGGCTCCCGTGGGATACCTTCATTTCCTCTATGCCGGCCCAAAATGTAAGACCCTGATTACTTTCGCACTGTTATTATATGATTCCACTGGTCCTGATCATATGTAGTTTTACCATCGATGTACCTTTCTGATATGCTTTTTTTTTTTTTTTTTTCCCTTATCTTTTTTAAAATATACTGTTTGTACTCACATGAAAACCAATAAAAATTGTTAATACAAAAAAAAAAAAAAAAAAACTTATTGTAAGTGCGAACACCAGTAGTATGCTGTAAAAATTATCACACCTTGATTTGCTTTAGCTATTTAGAGGTGATTGCAGCATCATAGGAAGATTCTGACTATAATATAATATAGTATAATAAATACTGTATAATAATTTTGTTCTACAACCTATCACCAGCCAGGTTCATAGTAGTAAAGCTTAATTTTAACATTTAGTCCTTAGAACCTGGCTGGTGATACTTTTATAGAGTAAAATACATCTCTAATCTTCCTAAAGGCTAGGTTCACACTATTCGCACACATTACCGCAGAAAAAGCACACTGCTGTTTGGCAGACATTAATTCTAAGGCCTAGTACACACAGGTGGGATATCAGCCGGTTCAACAGTAGACCTCTAACCTGTGTACCACAGCCTGTCCCAACACAAGCTGGCTGAACATCTGGCTTCTGTCGAACAGGCATGCTGGAAAAACAGCTGGCAATCTAATGGCAATAGCTGCAAGGTCTGGCCCGTGTGTTCTTGCAGGGGAACAAGGAAACATATCAGTATTTAAACTGAGAAAATGTTCTATTTCAGGAAAAAAAATCAGGTAATTTTGAACTTGACAGCAGCAACACATCCCAAAAAAGTTGGGACAGGGCAACAAAAAGCTGGCAAAGTTAGTGGTACTAACAAGGAAGAGCTGGAAAGACATTTTGCAGCTAATAATGTTAATTGGCAAAAGGTAAGTAACATGATTGGGTATAAAAAGAGCATCTTTAGTGGGGTACACACTTTGAGAAAATTGGAAGAAAAATTCAGTATGAGGACCAATTTGTTAAATTTTTGTATAGTGTGTAACAACATTTACACATCCGATTCAGACATTCAAAATGAAAATTTCTGAAGGGACAAACGCCAAAATTTTCTCGTATGTGAACAGAACAAATGATTTTCGGTTAATCAGATACGAAAGGCTGGACATAAGAAACAATTAATGACAATAATCTACACTACAACATTTCTACTTCAAACAAAACAAAAAAAAAAAAGCTCTTATCCGTGAATTTTCGTAGAATTAGTACCATATTCGGGTTCGACTTGTCAAACATCAAGGAAAAACAGATCATTCGCCTAATTTTTCTTATAGTGTGTACGAAGGCTTAGACTCCATTCACATATGGGCATTTTGGATCAGACAGAAACATTCAGAACGGTCTGCTAAAATGACAAATCGTATAAAGCGAATTTCAGTACATTTATAGTAATGGTACCTAAAAGCGCAGTGTGGAACTGCCTCGATTGTTGCACGATAAATTGCATCGCACAAAGCTTGTTGCCCAAAAAGGTGCCGGGACTTCTTTTGGGTGACAAGCTGTGCACGATGCCATTTGCTGCACTTGCAGCACAATTTATCCTGGCAGAGCCGCACCGCGCAAGAATATGGAGAAATCTCTATGTGCAAAGCCAAAATGC